TGTTTTCAACCTGTTGATTTACGAGTATATAATAACGTTAAGAAAAAGCATCATGGAGGTTGGCAGAGATCATTAAAGTGTACTCCAATGCATCAGATGACTGTTCCTGTGATTATGAGCACAAATTGCAGGTCATTATCGAACAAGATTAACTACTTGCATTCTCTATTATACTCAAATGTATATTGTAATACTGGTGTAATCACTCTTCAAGAGACTTGGCTCCATGATTCATATGACGATAATTTAGTCTCCTTAAGTGGGTTCACAATCTACAGACAAGACCGATGCAGCTCAAAGAAGAAGAGAGGTGGTGGTGTTGCCACTTTTATTAATTCTCAGTGGTCTACTGCCAACAACGTCTGCTTCAAATTCTCAAATGACAATATTGACTGTATAACTGTAAAATGTCGACCTAAACACTTACCTAAGTATAGCTTCATTTTTGTCACAAATATCTATATCACACCTTGTTGCAGTCCCTCAGAACTATCTATCTTCGCTGATGAATTCACTATTTTTGCTGCTGCTTCGTTTGGTAACTCCTTATCTATAGTGACTGGCGACTTCAACTCCAGCGACTGCAGTTTTATTACATTGCTGGGCCATGAAAATGTTGTTAATTTCCCAACTCGACAAAATACTTCACTTGATTTAGTATTTATAAATGATTCTGGAATATACGAAGCTCGTAAAAGAGCTCCGCTCTTCAATTCTGATCATTGTATTGTACGAGTCTTACCCAAAATTTACGGAAAGTTACACAGTAAAGCCTTCTCAAACTTGTCTAAGAAAGTTGTTCACAGATGCTACTCAAATGAGAACGTACATCATCTTAGAAACATGCTCAGTGACACAAGATGGGATTTGTTTAATGATGATTCACTTGATGACAATATCTCTAATATTACATCCTATCTGAAATTCTGTTTTGAAATCTGTTGTCCAAAAGAAACACTATTCGTCAAATTTGACCGTTTCTCCTCGCCTCAACTTAAAAAGCTTCGTAGAGAGAAGGAAAAACTATATAAAATGAAAGATAAAAGTGGTGTAAAAAGAACTAACTTCTTAATTAAGTCTGAAATGCAGAGGTTGAATGTAATATATAACCAGAAATTCATATCCTGCAAAAATCCTTCTAATATGTGGAAACTATTTAAGGAAATCACTGGTGGTAAGCAGATAAACAATATTCCATATTCTTTTGATGTATGTACTCTTAACAAATCTTTTATTTACTCTCCCTCAAATGCCATGCTTCCCAGCATCACTTGTGTTAATAATAGCCCCTTTCCAGGTTTTAACACAAATGATGTTCAAAAGTGCCTCAAGTCTCTAAACCCTTCCCAGAGCTTAGGTCCCGATTATGTACCTAGTATTTTTTTTAAAAATGTTCTGATATTCTGTGTCACCCTCTTACTGATCTATTTAACAAATCTTTTTCCGATAATATTGTGCCTGCCGTTTGGAAGGACATTAAAGTTGTACCCATACCTAAATCATCTACTGGAGCATGTGTCAAATTTAGACCCATTGCTATTACCTCTCCTTTTTTGAAAACTATGGAGAAATTACTTTTACTTAGTCTTGTACCTTCGCTTAAATCCTTTAATGACCCTAAACAATTTGCCTATAAGCACAGTAGAAGCACTTTAGATGCAGCTGCCGTCTTATATCATAACATTGCTTCCAGTCTAGACAAGGGGGCTAAATTTGTTCGTTGTGCCTTCCTAGACTATACATCTGCTTTCGACTCGGTCCCTAGGGACATCTTATTAAATAAACTTGCTGCTAGTCAAACAGAATGTTGGGCTGTTAACTGGTTACATTCCTATTTCTCAGATAGAAAGCAGTACACCGTATATAAAGGGAAGTCTTCCACTTCATTGCCTACTGAAGCTGGTGTCCCTCAAGGTGCTGTTCTTTCTCCTTTTCTTTTTTCTTTCTTCTTGCATGACTTGCCTCACTCTGATGAAATAAACTTTGTGAAGTACGCTGATGATTTAACGGTTTCAATGGCTGTTAACTCCCAGCTAGATTGTACTAAAATAAATAGCTTTCTATCGGAAGTCAGCAAATGGTCTGAGTCTAACGGTCTTAAACTGAATCCTTCTAAGTGTCAAACTGTTGATTTCAGCTTAAGATGTAAACGACAGTTAAAAGAAGTCATCGATTCTCATGACAGTTGTAAAATTGACGACAATGATATAGGAATCAAATCAGAAATTAAGTATCTTGGACTCATTCTCTCTTCTGATCTCTCCTGGTCTTCCCATGTCTTAGCAATCTCCAGTAAAATATTCCGCCTGACATTTTACATTAAGAAGTTAAGACACTCGGGTATAACTCAACCCCTCCTCTTACAGTTCATAAACTCTTGCATCCTACCTATTCTTCTTTATTGCTCACCCTTATTCTTTCCTGGTTTGCTTAAAAAAGACTATGTCACAATTCGTAGAATACTGAAGACTGTCAGTAGGGTGAGTGGTGTCCCAGTGGACCACATAGTTAACGTCGTTGTCGATAGGCACTTGACTTCGTGCAATAAATTTGCTAAAGGGATTTTGTCTGACTTGGAGCATCCGCTTTACCCTCAGCTTTCACCTTGCATCTCCTCAGGTAGAACAAGGAGTAACTTCAGAAAACTGTATGCTCGCACGTCTAAGTATAAGAATTCTATGATACCATACTTGGCACGTATTTTATGTGATGAAAATAGTGTCAGGCAAGAATTAACTAACCTTTTTTCATCTAGTAAATAAACAATTTCCTCCATCCATCCTTATATACCTTCAAGTTTTACTTTTATTACTTCTATTATATTTATGGTCCTGTTACTTCTCTGTTTTACTCTCATAATTGCAAACACCAACTTATCTCCATGACGGCTGTAATCTTTGTTTTTCCCCTCACCATATCATGTAAAGAGAACATTATATTCAATATTTTTAAACATGTTAGGATTTCTATACCACATTGCCAATACTGTGTGACACAAGCCAACGGCAATTTTCACTTGTATTCTTATTATTATTACCCTAGCTGTTATCATTATTATTGCTATTTCCATTTTATATGCTGCATGTTTTTGACACTACCTCTATTGTAAATGTGGAAAATTTTCTGTGTGATTAATTTTATTTATAATTTGAGGAAATTAGATGCAATATTGTGATTAATGCTGAAAATTCCATTCTGTATCACAAGTACTGTTTTTGGAATAAAGTAAATCATTATTATTATTGATAAGGGATGATGTGTGAATAGAGTCGCTAGCCACGCGAGCGACTCACTCGTAAACCTCACTAAGCCGTCAGTAAGGTTGGTAAAGACGGAAGGTTGAGCGTGAGGCTAGCAACTCCCACCAGATAAAAATGAAACACCACTGCCAGCGAAACTCCAAAGCTCTAGCTTGAAGCGGTATGTTCCACTCGGAACGGAAAGCACCGGTTGTATTTCTTTATTTAATTGAATTTTAGATGTTCCCGTCGATTGACTCGACAGAAGTGCTCGGTCTCAGGTTGACATGTCTATCGGCTTCTTGTGCAGATGCTTCGATGATGTATGGGCATGTAATCAGAAGTTAATCGGTGGATGGTGATGGGATATCATTAAACCAACTGGTTAACACTATTTTAGATAGACATATTATGTCATGTAAGAAGCTAGCGAATACAATATTGTCAGACCCGAGCATCCTCTCTATACGCAGCTGTCTCCTTGCATCTCCTTTCATCTGGTACAACTAGAAGCAGCTATAGGAGGCTGTATGCCAGGACTACCAAGTACAAAAACTCCACAATACCATATTTGGCACAGCTGTTATGTGATGAGAAATCCGTTAGGTATGACACGATAAACTTACTGCGACACTCTAACAAATAGTCCCATTAGTTTTTGTTTTCCTTTCCTCGTTACTATTACACTATTTTTGTCATCTTCTATCACACATCAACTTTATATTTCATATCCTGTGGTGCATTGTTTGAAATGTAATACTCTACGGTGTTTTTTTTTATTTATCTTCTATTTTTTTGGGTCTTGGTTTTTTATTTATTTATTTTTTGATTTTAAAAATCTTATAAAATTTATGAGGTAATTAGATGCAATATATTGTAATGCACGCTGAAAATTCCATACCTGTACCACAATAATGTTTGGAATAAAGCTATTATTATTATTGTTATTATTAGCGGTGAGATCCACCAGGATGCGCCACATTTCGTCCTATTTTGGACTTGTCAGCTGGTGGATGTATGTATCTGAATTCCATAGTGAGTGGTGATGCTCCCACTGCTAGCCATCATCCACCAATTAAATTCGAATTACATACCCAGACATCGTCGAAACATCGGTGTAAGAAGCCGACACGTCAACCTGAGACTGAGCACTTCGGTCCAATCAATCGACGGGAAAATCTAAAATTCAATTAAATAATCAATATGACCCGTTGCACAAGAGGCAGTGGCTTTCGTGTCCCAAGTGGTCTAGTGGATAGCGATTCGACATTTGAAACTATGGGCACTGGGTTCGAGACTCGGTGGGAACTACATCACTCACTGAGAAATGCAGGTGCATCCAGCTGGCAGACGAGTCCCGAATATGACGAAATGCGTGTTATCCTGGTGGATTTTTGTGCGTCGGTGGCACAGTGGTTAGGACTCTCGCCGACCATGCACATGGTCCGGGGTTCGAGCCCACGCCAGCGCACACCTGATATCTATGGTCGGCCTGCAAAACTTGGGCTACCGATATCCATGCTGAAAATTCCATACTTGTACCAAAAATACAGTGTGGAATCAAGCTCTAAATCAAAAAAAAATAATAAAATAAATTCCACTGCTAGTCACCATCCATCAATTCAATTCGGATTGTATTTCTTACAAATTTTATTGACCATCAAAACTTCTGCATTTTATGAGTACAGAAGGGGAAAGTGTATGCTAACTCGTGTTTAAACAAATGTTTACATTATAAAGACAGTTGCATTTTAAACATACCATAAATTTGTTGTATTCCAGCAATATCGTCTGGATCCAATTTAACTTTATCCCATGTACTTATGTAATAGGGATACATAATTGCAGTTGGCACAGATGAATGACCCAGCCCCAAGCTATGGCCTAATTCATGAGCTGCAACGGATATTAAATTTCTATGGGCTAAAAAAATATAAAGAAGAAAAATGGAAAATCCACATCTTAATTAGGAAGATCGAAAAAGGTCAAAAGCAAAATAAAAAATAATTGTTAAACAAGTAGTGATAACATAAATAAGAGAGAATATCAGTCATCTACTGTTATACCATACAAAGAGGCGACATCTGAGGCCATCCCTAAGTAGGATTCTGAATAAAGCAGGAATTACGGTGGCATTCAAACTAACTCAGAGACAAGCTATGTAGGCTAAAAGACCCGGTGGACCCAATTAGACAAAATAATATAATTTACAAAATACCTTGGAATGACTGTGAATAAGGTCAACTATATAGGTCACACTAATAGATCGAGGGTAATCAGATTGGCGGAACATAAGAATTTGGCTAAGGTAAGAATGGTTGACCCAGAGAAGATAAGGAATTTGGAAAAAAGCTCAGCGACTGCACTGCATGCATTAACATACAATCACACAATAGGGTGAGAGAGGGTTAAATTTCAAGAAGTGATGTAGGTAGGTGGGGAGAGAGAGGTTGGTTACTGAATCCTGGTTCATTGCGTCTAAACCCAACAATTGCAACAGAAATGACTCAATGCAAATACCAGAGATATGCATGGAAGATATTATAATCACCAGTCAGTCAAATCACGGGAGGATAATAAATAATCTTAAAATTCTATTTCAATTCACGTACATCACAACATTCTAACAAGTTACTTATTAGGACTAAATAAAAACACTCGTCTTATTTCCCATCTGATTGTAAATGGACAATATCACTCATATTATTATTTCTGAATGTACATTATCTAATATTGATTTTTATTTAAATATATAGTCAATTCCACACATGTATATAAGTAATGGAAAACATTGTGTGAGTAGTGCCTTGATAAGATTATAAGCTGTAATAATTTTTTGCTCGAAACGCGGTCATCAGTTAATATGACTGTGTAACACTGAGTGACTAATCAAAATAAAATCTTATCCATAATCCTAATTAGGTTTTAGGTATTTTTCCTTAAAAAAAAGCCATCATGAGATTGTGAAGAAGAATTATAAAGTTTTTTTCCACAATTTTGGTAAAAGGATACTTAGAATGTAGCTGCTCGTTTGTTTTGCAAACTTTACTCATAGTTATCATGATATATTTCAATTCGATTTAAATTCTTTGATTGATTGAACCAAGTTGTTCGGTCTCAATTGACAAATCGGCTCCCAGTGTGGACAGTTTGATGATGTCTAATGATTAACTTGAAGTAATCAGGTGGATAGTGACTACCAGTGGAATCTAGAGTGCGAATTTCATCGCATTTGGGACTCCTCGGCTGGTGGATGTACCTTCATTACCCGGTGAGTGATGGCGGTGTTCCCACTGAGATTCACTCGAACCCAGTATCTATCGTTTCAAACGCCATCAATCAGTAGGGAATGCGGTTAAATTCAGCTGACTAGTCCCAAATGCACATCCTAGATTTCATTGCTACTGACCACTCGCCAAATTACTACAGGTTGTCATGATAGGTTAGAAATTAGTCCCATTCATGATTGGTAACTAACACAGAAGATTTGTAGCTCAAGTTGATGAAATTGAATTAATTGTGTTCTCTGAGCTGCTGGTTGATTTCATCGTGAAGCCTTCGTTGTCTGTCCTACTAGACAACATCTTGACCTCAAGCTTTATTATAAACTGAATTTATTTCAATTCTTTATGAATGATAGATATCATTAATTGTATCTCATGACAGTCATTGTTAAATTGGTTAGAGAGTTTCATCATGAGACGGTGAGATGCAGGATATCGTGTTGGGAGGAAACGAGAAACTGTTGGTAACCATGGTCCAGGTAAAAAGGTCCACAGAGGACAGGATGCGGTGAAGATATGCTGTTGAAGCCGTGATTCCCACTCGGAACCTAAGAGAACAGTAATAATAATACGCGTTTTGAATTTATTCAACTTTCATGTTACTTGTTGTGAGTTCAAATGGCCTCCTTGAAAAAAAAACTTAGTAAATATTCCTAGAAAATCTTTAAACAAGGGGAATTAAGACGCTCACTGTTCACAGGTTCGCACCTTTTTTTTCCTTCTAATGACCTTCCAAATGATATATAAAACCAACCAGCACTATAATATCAAACAATTGGGTGAATTACTTAACAACAACTTGAACAAGAAAACAACATGACGTTATAACCATAATAAGAAAAAAAATAAGATTACAGGTTACAGTGTGATAATGACAGACAATTATGTTGTTTGTACGCCTTACTTTTATGTGGTCCATCATTCCATACTTCATCATCATCGAAATGTGCATCCCCTGAAAAGGAATAAACATTGTCCGGTGTTGGATAATAAGCATGTGCTAACACGCCACCTGTTGATGGTGAAAAAGCAAAGAGAAAAGAAGAAATATTTCAAGGAAAAACCGATGAAAACTTGAATATAAATACTGTTAATTACTGGTTAAATAACTAATTCACTTAAACTGTGATAAAAAAAGTCTTAACTTTTGACCTTTATGAAAAAGTGTTTGAAAAATTGACAACAGGGTCGACTTTCTATAAATTCATATAAAACTTAGGCTACTGGGAAGCATCGTCTCAACTACAGGCGGAACTGACGAGGATATCAAAGCCAGAATCGGAAAAGCAAGACAAGCTTTCATCACTCTCAAATCTGTGTGGAGGTCAACAGCACTCAGCATCAAAAATAACATCCGGATTTTCAACTCCAATGTGAAGTCAGTGCTACTATACGGATCAGAGACTTGGCGAGTCATAAAGAGCATCTCAAACAAACTTCAAACCTTCATTAACAACTGTCTTCGCTCAATACTCAAGATCAGATGGCCAGAAAAGATCAGCAACAGGGATCTCTGGGAGCGAAACAACCAGGAACCGATTGTGAAACAAATAGGCAGGAAGAAATGGAGATGGATTGGCCATACGCTGAGGAAACCATCAAGTGACATCACTAGACAAGCCCTCGAGTGGAACCCGAAAGGGAAGTAGCGAGTTGGTTGTCAGTGCAAGGGTGACTTGGAGGAGGTCATGCGAAGAGGAGATGAAAGCATGTGGACAGACCTGGAGCAGGGTGAAAAAGTTGTCAGAAAACCGAAGGCAATGGAGGTGCGCAGCTGAAGCCCTATGTTCCTCTAGGAACTAAAGGATACAAAATAATAATAATAGATCTTTTGGTATCTTTCAGTTATTGCAGACATTAAACCATGTGGTATGAATTTAAAAGTTGTCACTTAAACACTTTAGTTCAGAAGGACGCTACATTCCACTTACCATAATTTGTGCATAAAATGATTATACAACGAACCAAAACTTCATATGCATTCGCGGAAAGAGGACGAAAACAGATTGTCTAGTTTGAAAGCCTAGAGACTTTTCAATCTGTTAACCTTTATATTGACCTTTACTCAAGTAAGTGGGTCAAAGTTAACGAACTAAGATAATAGAGTCGAACAGGTTGAGACACTAAATGATCTGAGATGATTTAGAAAGCTACAGGTTTATAAAGCTACAGTTACTATATGGAGGGATTTGAAAGAGGTTACTTCATTCTACTACCTATCTAGGGAGCATTGTCTCAACTACACGCAGTCGGAACGGACGAGGATGTCAAATTGAGCGAGAATCGGGAAGGCGAGAAACACATCAACATCATCAACCTGAAACCAATCTGCAAACCAGTCTTCGTCACTCAGCCAGCATGAACAACAGAATTCGGTCGGATTTTCAATACAAGCACTTCAAGTCAGTCAGTTCTTCTATACGGATCAGAAACTTGGTGGGTGGTTCACAAAGAATATTTCCAACAGGCTATTACAGACCATTATCAACAACTGTTTTCGACAGCTCTATACTGAAGATCAGATGGCCGGGCTTGAAAGAATCACCAACAAGAAACTATGGCTGGGAAGAAACAAAACAAGAACAAACCAATCACCAATCAACAAATATGCAGGAGAAAGTGGAGATGGATTGATTGGACACTCGCTGAGGAGGAGGCCGGTTGGTTACATCGCGTACGCGTCAGGCCATTGCTCGAGTGGAACCAGGCCGAAAGGGAAGCGGCGAGTGGGACGTCAGTGCAAGGGTGACATGGAGGAGATCGTTTGAAGAGGAGTTGAAACAATATGGACTAAGATGGATGTAGGTGAAAAGTACAACAGAAGACAGAAGCAAGTGGAGACGTGCAGTTGAAACCCTAGGTTCTACTGGGAACGCAAGGGAACAACAATAATAAGTATATCTCTGTTTTTTTAATTACTTCACGTTCCGAGTGGAACATAGGGCTTCAAGCTAAAGGCTTGAAGTTTAGGTAGCAGTGGTGTTTAGATTTTACTAGATGGGGTTGCTAGTCTCATGCCTAACCTCAACCTTCTTTATCAGTCTTATTACTGGCCTAGCGAGGTAAAGGAGGAGTGCGTCCGTGGCCGGGGATCGAACTCCGAACCACATGAGGCATAGATGGCGAGCATTCTACAGCTGTGCAAGACTGTTAATTATTTTTGGTGGTAATCATATATTCAGTTGAATTGTCAAATCAGTGTTTAGACAAAATGCTTTTAACTCAAGATTTTGTATGGTGTCATGATTGAAAATAAGTATCTGAAGAGGTTCATAAGAAAGCACAAGCCTATGCAAATTGTAAAGGAATATTTTGCATCTATGAACTAAAACAATTTTATATGCGATTACAATTTAGAGGTGGCATATCAAATGAAGTAATTTAATTTTATTATAGCTTGATTTCACATTGTGGTCCAAATTTTTGTCAGGCAGACCATTAATATCAGGTATGCACCGGCCGGGATTCGAACCCTGGACCATTTGTATGGTCGGCGAGCGTCCTAACCACTATGCCACTGACACACATTAAGTGACGTAGACTGACGTATGCTATACAGATTTATGTTGCTGGAGGAGTGGTCAAAAATTTAGAATCATCATTTTAAGTAAATGGCTGCAGTAGACGTAGAGTAGAAGTGTTTATTTCGCATATTTGGATTTCGTTTACGTTGTAGTCTCAAAGTAATCTCATTGGACAACTATTTGCCAACCAATCAGAACAGTTTACTGTCTACTGACTTAACCGACTTTTAATGTGGTTCTATATATATTAACACTGTGTATGTTAAACTAGAAGCTTCAAGTTAGTAATCGAATGGTTCTAATCCTGTTGCTATTTGAGGTTTATTTTCAATCTCACTAGTCGAGAATTTGTCAGAATAACTTGATTTCAGATCACTTCCATAGGTTATTCAAAAGTAACTTTAAAAAATGTTGCAAAATTAGTTGTTATCACCACGAGAGATGTCCGTTACAAATTTTAATGACTGGTTGGTGAAAAAGGAAATATTCTTCTTGATAATGTCTTCTTCATCACGTTCTACACTTATATCACACTAAGAATTAAAGAAATATTGTTACCTACAACAGGAATGTTGCTTTCAATTACATTTGAATCAATAGAATCTACAGATGATAGCTACATTTCAAAAGCGTCAGTAAACGAGAGGGATACTGTGCATTAACATAACACTGAACTTAATTGAATTTGAGATATTCTTGTCGATTGATTGGACCGAAGTGCTCAGTGTCAGGTTGACATGTCTGTTGGCTTCTTGTGCAGATGCTTCGACGATGTCTGGGCATTTAATTAGAATTTAATTTGTGGATGGTGAATAGCAGTGGAATCCAGAATGCGCATTATTCTGGATTCCACTGCTATTCACCATCCACAAATTAAATAACACTGAAATGATTGAATATCAGATAAATGAAGGGAAGTAATACAGAATTGGCGAATTTATAAGTTCAACTGAAGGTGAAAGTAACAATAGTGGCCGTCTGGACCTGCTTCTTTTTCACACAGAGCTCCACCTGATTTAGGTAAATTGCGATGGCCTCTACTGTGTAGAGTGTTCGATATCCATAGAGTTCTTAGATACAGAAATATTGTCCAACGTTAGCTTTTGTGGCATGTTTGGAAGGAGTGATCTTGTACAGAACGGTTGATGGTTTTCGCAACACTTTTATTTAACCATACGAGCACGAAAATTTAAGTTCCAAATGCAGCAGCCAGTATAACTGGATATGCAGGTGTGGTTAAATTGATGGATACAATTAGCAATGGTTAGTTCAGGTGCTTCACCTTTCAGTTACCGAATCACAACCGACTGTGTGGAAAATATAAACTTCAGTTTACCAGCATTAAACATTCTTTCGATCGATTTTGCTCAACTTGTATGTTATTGTTTCAGTTGGATGTATATCACTCCTGAATTGTAGTCATATATATTTAGAGGCTTCTTGTTAACAGATACAGAGGAATTCTCTTCTACTTTCCTGGCCGTGTGTTTCGTGATGAACTTTTTTGGGTAGCTGTTTTTAATTATCCTATCATACACAGTGTTAATTTCGTCCTCAGTTGCATTTTCTGAAGAAATAATTTTGACGCTATAAATGAGGGTCTTCACCAAATATCTTTTATTACCCGAGAGGTAAAAACAGCTGTGAAAATGTGTATGTTTACCGGTCTAAGTACTTTTCTTATGGTTTTCCAGTTAGGAACACCTATCAGTGTGATTAAGTAAAAGTGTTCTGAAAGCCATCAACAGTTCTATATTGATATATCTCGTCCAATCAAGTCACAAAGCTAACGTTGATCTTTCTCTAAGATCTATTGCGTATCGAATAAATTACCTAAGGCCTCTATAGATATCAAACACTACAAACAGTATAGGCCATCACAATTCGCCTAAATCAAGGGGAGCTCTGTGTGAAAAAGAAGCAGGTCCGGATAGTCACTATATTGCTACTCTCATCCTCAGTTGAACTTATAAATTCGCCAATTCTGTGTTACTTCCCTTACTTTATGTGATATTTACTCAGTTTAGTGTTATGTTAATGCATAGTTTGCCTCTCGCTTACTGATGCTTCTGAAATGTAGTCATCACCTGTAGATAGTGTTGATTTAAATGTAATTGAATGCAACATTGGTGTTGTAAGTAGGAATATTTCTGTAATTCTTAGTGTCACATAAATGTAGGACGTGATGGAGAAGGTTTTTTTTATCGAAAAGAATATTTCTTTCTTCACTAATTAGCCTTTTAAATTGAAAGATGAGCCATACTCTGAGAAAACCGTCAAGTTACATCACACTCCAGGCCATCGTTCGAGTGGAACGTGAATGTGAAGCGGTAAGTTGGTCGTCAGTACGAGGGTGACATGGGGAGGAGTTGATGTGAAGAGAAGATGAAAGCATGTGGGCATATGTGAAAAGGTTGTCAGAGAACCGAACGTAATGGAGATGTGCGGTTGTTGGTCGCTCTAAACTCATTGAGAAGTCGGGTTCCAGTGGTGCTGAATGTTATACGAGTTAACTTGCCTTGTACTCGGAAGGTCGTGGGTTCTAACCCTGGTAGTGGATGCGTACTGTCGAGGATTCCTAAACTCGGCTGATGAAACAGCTGTCCAGTCCTCTCAGCTGGCTGTTGTTTTCAATGCCTCTCTAACTGATATCAATCAATCAATCAATACGTGATCAACTCATAAAAAAATATTATATAGGAATTTAAATTCAGAATAAAAGGTAGTGTATATGTAGATGGAATATTGTATTGACTGACCTGCTCCGTCGAATGGTATTGAATCACCGTGCTTTCCAGCACCAAATCTTATCACAATATCAGCTGGTTTATAATAATCTTTTTCTTCAATAAAATCTAAATTCACTACTCTTGACCATAAGTTGAATGTATGCTGGAATACTGCATGTGTACGTACTCTAGATAAAGAATGCGATGGATAGCTTTGAATTCTAAAATATATCAAAGTGAAGAGAGAAAAAAAGGCGGTAGGGGGTGTTAAATTATCTCAGATATCATGGATTGTATAAAAAAGCAGTTAAACAATATTTTTTTTTAAAGTGTCATAATTCTCAAAGGATGAAGATCATTAATTGATATTCAGCCTTAAATGAATGAGTGTGTAAATGAACGTGAACATTGAACGTTGGTTCATTGACCTTGGTCACCATTGGCGGGTAACTCGAAGGCGCAAATATTTCCATCGTGTACAAGACGTGGAAGAAGACGAAAGAACACGAATAAAAGTACAGTATATTTTTATTGTAAAACATCTGTTTACAGACTTCGTACTAACCTCGATTTTAACTTCCAAACACAATACATCTTCTTTCTCATATGTACTGGTATTTTGGAGTTAAAGTCGAGAGGCGGTTGTAGTAATTATCGATTTGGAGCGTCTTCGCAAATAATAAGAACTTAGGGTTAAGTTCCTTGACAGAGTGTCATGTCATTTAACCTAAAACAGAAGTCTTAAGTAAAATCAAGCTACTGAAGGCAGCAGGACTGGATGGAATTCCTCCAAAAGCACTGGAATCTAGTCCAGAGATCGCAGCACATATACTGTCACCAATATTACAAACTTTTAAAAGGAAGGAAGGAAAGATACCTACTAATTGGAAGAATGACTAATTTATCAAACTATCAAAGAAGGGTAAATTACGCCTTTGCAAGAACTGGTGTACCATATTGATTAAGTCACGTTATCCTGAAGAGAATAAAAGGTGCACTGGGTACAGAACGCCTCCCCTTCTCTTGTAATAAGTTGGATTCAGGAGAAGAAAATCGTGAGCGGATCAAATTACAGCGCCAGGTATCATCATAGGACGGAGCATGGAATGACGACCAAGCCCCTACCAAGAATTTCAAAGGGCATTCAGCACCACTGACAATTCCTTCAACACTATGGAGCGTCCCAAACGTTTATCATTATCATTCCATATTTCAGGTGATCGATAAGTGAAAACGTTCAGTGATGTTTTTGAAGTCAATACAGGTGTAAGACAAGGCTGCCCATTACTATCCATCATGACATTCCTAATTGTGATGGACTCGATTTGACGTCACACTGTGAGTGGAGAGAGAGAAGACGCGAATACGTTGGACCGACAAGAAGACTCTATAAGATCTGGATTTCACAAATGATTTATGTCTAGTGTCATAAAAGCTCGAACAACTACAGGTAAAAACCGACAGACTGGCCGAAGAGGCTGACAGGCAGCGAAGACGGGATTTCAAGTGACAGTAGAGACGACGAGGGTGATGAGGATAACCAATCACCGCCGCTAACAATCAGCATCAATCACCATCAACGGGAAAATTTGAAACAGGTTACTTCCTTCGCTTACTGCCTCAGTAGCATTATTTCACCTGCAGTCAGTTAACACAGATGAGGTTGTCGAAACCATCACTCTGAAATCAGTACAGAAATCTTCTGCACTGTCAATAAAATGAACAAAACATTCGGACTTTCACCACCAATGTCGAGTCAGTCACTTTTTCCATATGATTAATAAACTTGCACTACACCTCACTCACAAAAAGCACTTCCAACAGGTTGCTGCAGACCTTTATCAGTAGCTGGCAACTTCACTGGCTCCATACTGAACACTAGATGGCTGACCGACCAGAAACTCGAGAAATGAACCAACAAAGAACCTGGTGCTTAACAAATATTCCAGATAAAACGGAGATGGATCAGACACACTCTAAGGAGACCATCGGAGGAAGTCACGCACTAGCCCATCGCTCTATTGGAACATGAATGGGTTACTATGGATTGGGTTTAGATCTGAGGGTTATATGAAGGGGATCGTTTTGTTGAAGGGAAGACGGGAGACAATCGGTAATCGTGGGGCCAGCTAAAGGGGATAACGGGAAGATGTTCTATTGAAGCTCTGTATTTCACATGGAACCCAAGAGAACAATTATATAATGACAATAATTGTAGACATCAGGACAGCCATTTTGTACGAACTGTTGTAAGCCGTTATGATCTTTGAATTATGAAGTAAGTTACGATGGTATTCATATAAAAAGCCATATATTAGCTACTGTCATCATATCTTCGCAAGTTTTTACCAATTGATATCTAACTGGGATAACTATATTGTTGATATTAGATGGTTAGAGGCAGTCGACCACAGGAAGCATTTCCACCTAGGTTTCGTGCTAGTTAGCACTCGTCAGTAGGGCGTATCTGCAGCCATTAAGGAACAACTCATGTCCCTTCTGAGGAGATTCGTACCTGCGTCACTTAGTAAGTGCTGAAGTCAGAGAAGTTACCACTGTGCTTTTGGGGTTGCAGCGCTCACTGGATGATGCTGGTTCAAATCTCCTCAGTTGAGACGCGAGTTGTTCCTTCAAGGCAGTTGCAGATACGCCTTGCTGACTGACTGATTGACTGGTGAGTGCCAACTAGCACGAAACCTAGGTGAGTTAGTCCAGGCTTCCAGTAGCCGATTGTCTCCAACCATTCACTGTGACAGCGAGCCATCTAGCATGGTTGGTTGATTGTCACATTGCAAACTTGATAGACAGAATTCAGTCTTCACCAAAGAAAGGACTAGATACACTTACAGTAGTCAGTGACTAGTGTCCAGTCAAAGTATTGACGAAATATATATTACTGACAAAAATATCATATATAAATATGTATATAAAAAGTTTGTTCTTAAGCTGTCCTCTTTAGGTTAAATAATTTTTCAGAATTCAATGCTCTTATACACATTTTGTTTTTAAAATAAATAAATGAATAATGGCTTACACACAGAACTGAAATCATGACCTAATCTATCGTTGTAAATATTTTGGCTTTCTTGGTTCGTTTTATTGATAAAGAGTGTTAAGTGATAGTTAACACAAGATGATAAGTACACTGACGTTCGTTGTATGCTAAAAAAATAAGGTGATGTTTATATAAAACAAATGATCATAGAGGTCGCATATCTGAATGAGAGATACTCCATGTCGAGTATATGCATACATGAATTTTGGGGATAAATACATACATTTATATGTATGATACAATTAAGGAATTGTTCAATGTTTACAATTAGTTACCATAGTCACGTATACCAACCAATCTCATGATGGTAATTACTAAATATGCTACAAAATGTATTTTAGTTCAATCACATAGGTTACTTTTTAGGTGTAAATATGCAAATTTTATGGCATAATGGATATTCTGTATCGATTACAAGACCACATTACATAACAATAACAATAATAATAATAATAACAACAATAGTGATAATAATAAATTCAATCGAATGAAAATGGCACTTTGTTTGCACACCGCAGTATATTGTTTGTAAAAAATTATATTTGTAAAAATCTCAGAAAAATTCAAAATGAGGAATTCCAACGTTTTCTGCGTTTGGCAAACTGGTCCGAACTTCTTCAGGGGAATTAATCGAAATTAAAAATAAAATAACAGAGTGTTGGTTTTAGTAGGGATTTTTTGTTGCATTGGTTTGAGGATTTCATCATTATGACGTGACATTTGTTAGAGAAACATTGGAAAACCACCACCTGGGAGTACTGGACAGCCAGCTGTTTCCTCCGTCCTAGTTTGGGACTCTTCATCAGTATGCACACTCCCACCGCCAAGGCTCGAACCCAGGACCTTGTGGTTGCAAGGCCGGCGAGCTAGCTCGTAGACCATTAAGCCACTGAGCCATTGGATCGGGTCTCAACGTCTATATAATGTACAGAATTTTCAGTGGAGTTTATTACATGATATCTTCTCTTAATCCAGGAACCATCTTCAAATAAAACAGACTAATTGACAGTAGATCGCAAGACACAGTTCTGTCTAACCTGAAGAGCAAAATGAATCTGTTATGATGATATCTCTTCTTCCCTTTCTCCTTCGAGAAATACACGACGGTCTGTTGAATGCCAAGTATGAAAAGGTTCAAGAGGACATTTTGTGAACCAAGGAGACTAATCAGGAATGGTCATCTCATATATTAAGATAAGCTGCCACTGAGGATAGTGCTTTTTCACATGTTTAAGAATAAACTTGTGAATTAGCAAGTTGTAAGTGGATTAAATATACACCAGGCAAAACAATATTATTAGATAAACAAAGTAAGATGAAATTTGCGGTATAAAATGATACCATCACTCTATTTCACAGGTTCTCATCAGCTGCAGACTACCTTAAATTAGAAGGGTTATATCATAGATGATAATAACATGCTTTAATGTTGAAGTGGTAGTAGAGAAGAGATACTATAAAATTGACGCATCCAAAATGAAAGCATTACAATTATTTAGTTTAATTTTTCATCATCGATTTATACGCTTTCAAAATTGAAGAGAGGGGGAAGGGGTAAGACAGAAAACAGAAAAAATTAATTAACAGAGAGTGTTAGCTCGTAGGTTCACATTAAAACTCTGAAAAGAAAAGTCGTTACAGTTTATAAGATTGACATTTTTCAGTGAGTTGAGATCACTGAATTCGATGATTAATTAGTGTAATCAAAATCAAAATTCAGCTACCACGGGAGTGAGAGGTTAATCACACTCTCTTTCTCTATGCATAAGTCTGGTTGGTTTGAATCGTTTGATTGCGATCGCTTCGGCAAATCGTAGTAAATTTGCTGTCCTTTGTCTATTTAATATTTTGAAGGACTTAGAAATCTCTACGAGATGTCCGGTCTAAAACAATATGTCTGGTAATTGCACTCTGAGAATATTTGCTTGCCTTCAGGCACAGGTTGCTTGGAATATGTTAAGATAACGCGATAGAAGCCCTTCTTTATGTCCTTTCCAATGTACTTGCTCCCGCAAGTGCACGTAAATTCATAAGCGCAGTTGGAGGTGACATCAGCAGGGTATTTATCCAGTTTTGAGTGGGTTACAGAAGGAGTGGTGCTGTATACTATTATGAGTTTTGCCACCGGGAAGCTTCTATTTATTGCACCTTTCAATCTTTTGTCAATCTTTTGTGACACTGCATCTCCTTTGAATGGTAGGCGAATAAACACTTTCTTCTTTTCTATAGTTGGATGCTTTTCTTCCTTATCTTTTTCTTTGCTATACTTCTGTACAAATCCCTTAGGGTATCCATTTTTCCTTAGGCATTTCTCGACGAAATCTTATTCTTCTTCGACCTTGCTTGGTGAACATAGCTTCCCGGCTCAGTTGTACAAAGTCTTCACTAATCCATGTTTATTGCTTATGGGACAAAAGCTGTTATAGTGAAGATATTTTCCAGTCCAGGTATCTTATTAGAAGTCATATTTTACTAGATTTACACAAACAGAATCAGAGAAACGTTGGAATTACGCATTTCAATCTTGCTGAGATTTCACAAATAAAATAATTTTTTACAAATGTCTACTTCTCACTCGGCGCCTAAATATTTCAGAACTATTCTGTCAAATCTTGACGACAGTTCATTTGAATTATTTTGCAATCGTATTAAATTAACAAAAAAGAAACTATGTTGTAATTGGTACAATCATCGTGTTTTCACTCGCTGTTGTCTGCAACAGAATGCGTATCCTAAATCCGTAGCTGTCCAGTCACCTGACAACTCCAGTAGGTTGAATAAGGCAGCTCAGTCTTCAGAAAGAAGAAGACAAAGCAATAAGTTCGACAGGGTGCTTCAACTCAGCTCTAATCCTAAACCCCATAATTTTGAAAATAGGTCTAATCATAAAATTCTAGATACTAACAGTGTGAATAGACATGAAGGTGTGATGTTAGCTGATGCATAGGAAATCCTGATTAATAAATAAAAATGGGTATGTATCACTAATTAATAATACTTGGTCAAAGTTCCCGACTGTCTATATCTTCCTATAGAGGCTTTAAGAAATTGTTCTACAACTGTTTACGCACACAAACACACACATACGCACTCTGTTTAAAGTGTTTAACAAAGGTAGACCAATATTTGTAAGTTCGAGATCAAATTTTCATCACAGCTCAGCTCATACAATTCTGTTTATTATACATGTTGATGCTTGTTTCATGACTCATGATTGGACAAAGTCGTTTTTAAAAACAAGAGATGTTCCTTTTCTATATATAAACCTCTGCTATGTTAGTTAATTTCGATTAATTTCCCTGAAGAAGTTCGGACCAGTTGTGCCGAACGCAGGAAACGTTGGAATTACGCATTTCAATCTTGCTGAGATTTCACAAATAAAATAGTTTTTTACAAATGTCTACTTCTTACTCGGCGACTAAATATTTCACAACTATTCTGTCAAATCTTGACGACAGTTCATTTGGATCAGAGAAACTATATGCAGTATATATTGATAGAGTTTGTTTTCGATAGTTCGGTAGTTTTAAGCAGGCTGCCCCTTCATGTTGTACTACAACTGTATTTCTGCGTTTTTAGTACAGACTCGTCTGATTGGCTGATCGAAGTCATTATGTCCGTTTATTTTGAGGAATTTGCTCGGGGCGGTAATGTGTAGAGATAGCATATAAAGTAATATTAAAATAACATCAATGATTCAGGGGTAGAATATTTATCCATCACACAGGAAGTCCAGGTTTGATTCCCGGTGAATCACTTTTAAATCTCGTCTAGTTTGCTGGACTCTAAACGGCTTGAGGTTAAAAAAAGAGAAAGTTAGGCAACACACTAGTGACCCCACTGCGTAAAAAGAAACCATCATGAATATTGAGACTTCATAGACCAAAAGGAGGAGGAAATATAATAATACGAGCTTGCTTTGTAACCGGAAGGTCCTAGGTTCGAAACATGGTAGTGGGTGCAGACTGACGATGATTCTCAAACTAGGAAAATAAAACAGATGTCCAATTCTCCCCGGTTTTCAGTGATTCTCTAGCTGATTTCAATCCGTCATCAACTCATAAAAACAAAACTAACCCTTACAAACCGAACTATAGAAAATTAATCTGATGCTCTCTAGTGACTGACTTGCTACAGGATGGGGTTTCTTGCAGTTTTAATGAGAATTCGTGACCACTGAGGTTCATCCAGATGTCACGTGTGAGGATGGATGCCCCACCTAAGATTTTGGTTGGTGGTCGCTCTAAATTCATCACGAATTGGTAGAAGTAAGAATTCATGGGTCGGCTAGCCATTGAGGAGTCGGGTCCGAGTGGTGGCTGAATAGTAAACCAGTTAGCTTTCCTTGTAACCGAAAGATCCTGGGTTCGAACCATGGCGATGGGTGTGTACTTCCGATGATTCCCAAACCAGGGGGATAAAACTGCTGTCCAGTTCTCCCAGCTAGTGGTTCTCTAACTGATATCATTCAATCTGTGGTCGAACTCGTAAAAAAAATCTAACCCTTACAAAACCAAACTACAGAAAATAATAATAATAACACTACAATACTAGTAAAACAAATTTCACACACTGCCATGTTAACTGCTTCTTCGTCCATTTCATTTTTTCATCACCAATCAGATAGCGTTTCTTTCGATTCAGTAGTCTGCTTTGTTCAAAATGCATATTTCCAGTGGTTTTGGAATGATTACTGTATGATGAATGGAATGTACTGTCAAATATTCCACTTGATAATATTGACTGTGATGTTGACGACGATGTTGGATGCCAGGAATTCTTTTCTTTCAAGTTAATTTGTCTGTCTGGATTACCACAACGGGGTGATATTAATAAATTACGTGTCTGCTTGTCTAATTCACCTGTTACGGGAAGATGATATTGTTTTTGAAATTTTTTTATAGCAATTGTGAACTCTTTTGGAGGATGCATTAAAGATATTTTATCTGGATACTTGAAAGTTGATTTGTGCGGGATATTTTCTATTGATATAGGATTACCACTTTGCGCTGACAGATCATCCATATAACCATATTGATAAAGTAAACGCTAGGGATAAATTTTCAAAACAATCAATAAAAAATATGAATACACTTCACACAGTGTTTAATGCATTAAAACAATAAATTATAACAGTTATGATCCTGTAATTGGTTGGATCTATTGGTGAACATTCATTGAAAGTTGAGAACCTAATAAATAACTGTTTACTTTAACATTTCTTGTTTTCTTCAATACTATTCATTAAAATGACTCACTTTTAGGTTGAAATCAGTGCCCAGTTCCTGAAAACAGTAGACCAACCAAAACCATCCATCCAATCAATGGCTAATGGTTTATTCGGATTATAGGATTTGTGGGCAATTTGAGTTAATCTCAATTGTTAAATCTTTGTCATGAATTAATATAAGTAAGGGAGAGAGTGAAAGAGACAGAGAGCATTAAAAACCACCAGAGAGTACTGAACAGATGTTTCGTCCTAGTTTTGACTCTTCATCAGTGCACATCCACGACTTCATCACCAGGAATCAAAACCTAGACGTTCACGATACAAGACCCAGTTCACTGACGACCATTCAGCCAGACGGCTTAGAATTTGATGACTCTCGGATTCTAACTTTGTCGTTTAGTGATATAACGCTTCTCAAACTATTGCCTTGATGACCATCCAATTCAATCTAACTGCTCAATGCCAAACTCAACTTCCCATTGAAGCTTCAGGAAGTTCGTTCATTCAGTAGGCATCAGTGATCAAAAGGTTGACATTTAGATGTTATAGGATTTGTGTGGATTTCAGATTAATTTCTCATCTCTAGACGCCCTTATGACAAGAAAAAAGGAAGGCGCAATAAGAGGAAGTGTATACAGAAAACCTACATCAACGGTCATACACATATTTTTTCAGCTTCGTGCCCTTGAAATACAATCGCAATCTGATAAAGTGCTGGTTCACAGGCCAACAGAAATCTCCTAGGATGAATGTCTTGATGAGGAACTTAATAATATTAAACCGTGCTGAGTGAAAATTGTTATCCAGAAAAGTTTATTGATAAGAATATGAATCTAAAATCAAGACAGCCCAAGTTACCAACAGTTCAAAAAAACACCTTATTCTTACAAATGCAATTCCTTAGGGACAATATCAGCGAGAGACTAACACAACGCCTTAGAAATGAGACAGTAAAAAGAGCATTCCCTTCTGCAGAATTATGCTGTGTCTTCAAAACCACTCCTCTCTTGCGTTCAGGAGTAAAAGATAAACTGCCTAATTTCGCCTCTCCAATATGTGCGTGTGTGTGTGTGTATCTACCAATTTAACTGCTCCTGTAGAGTGAGCAGTTACTTGCATAGGCCGTATAATTAGGCGTGTTTCTCGTCGAATTTGCGAACATCACTCTGCATCGTGGTTGGTTAAGTAAAGGACAAACAAAATCTATTCTGAGCGCTATCCTATCTCATCTTGTGGATACAGAACACAAGACTGATTGACGTTAACCATGCTTTCTGGGTCATTTACCGCATACCTAGGAATCTCGATTTCGCCTTAAGAGTCCGACTACTAAATATTGCTGAGGCTGACTGTTTGGATCCATATTAACAAGCCTAATTTATGCATCCAAAAGAAGTTAGTTCAGACATTGTCCCTACCCACTTGGCCACCTTGGTTTGAATGATCCTCAACATTTTGTGAAATTTTCTAAGTTTAGTTGATATTCTATTCGATATTATTATTATTATTATTATTATTTAAGCATCCTTAATGAAATGTAATTGCATTGATCATATTTTACAAATCGACATTATTTAAGAAATCACTAATATTGTTATTGACTAGTAATCTAGAATATTCTGTGTATATAAACATGTATATATAATTGTAGAGCCGGAAGAGGAATTTATCGAAGAGGGATATTCTTTGCTCAATTATTTTGTGTTACATAGATGTCTGAATGAATATTTTTTCTATGTTAAGTTTTCATCACGAATGGAAGCAGTCTTTGAATTCTCAATCCATGTGGCTGAATGGTCAATGAGCTTGCTTTTATATGATGAAGGTCTAGGATTTGATCCTTGGTGATTGAGTTAAGGAAGCACAGTAATGAAGAGTCTTATATTAGGACGAGCTACTGTTCAGTACTCCCTGGTATGTCTGTGGCCAAACTTGTAACATGTAATTTGTTGAACTGTTGCGACGTAACACAAGGATGAGTGAAAATTAACTAAAAATCTAAATCCCCAAGGATTTTAAACCATAGGTTTTATTTGATTGGACACTAGTAACTAATGTGACGTGTCTAATCCTTCGTTTGGTGCATACTAAATTCCATCAGTCAGGTTTGTAATGTGGCCATCATTCTAGGTAGCTCGTTATCATGCAAGGGCTAGACACGTCACACTAGTTACTAGTGTCCAATCAAAGTACTCACTACAGACCTACGTGAGGTCAGTCGGAAGCCTCAACAGCTCAGTGGTAATATCTCTGACTGTAGCACTCACTGGTTGATGCGGGTTCGAATCTCACAGGGAGGGGTAGACATGGGTTCCTTCAAAGTTGTAGATACGCCTTGTTGACTGTTGAGTGCCAACTAGCACGAAACTTAGGTCGAAGTATGGCATCCTGTGGCCGATTGCCTCCAACTATCTAGTATCATGGGTTTTATACTGACCAGTCTTACAATTTAGAAACTGGGTCACTTTAAATCATCCCATAGCCCATACTCATCCTTTATTTACTCTTGTTTGTTTAATGTCTAAATGCATTTTAAGTTGATTTTTCGATGATAAACATCGCGACTTAGATCTAATTGACAACTGCAGTTATAAATCGTGTATAAAACGTGTTTAGGGGAACGAAACACTCACCAAAATGAGTTTCCGTTAGTTTCAAAAACCTTATAAACACACTGGTTACTTTGATTGAACACAAAGTTAGTAAGTGCCTAGTCCTTCTTTTTGGTGTAAACTGAATTCTGTCAATTAAATTTGCTATGCGGCCACCAACCATGCTAGGAGGCTCATCATCATGGTGCACTCTGAGCTGTTGTTATTAGATGATTAGAAACAATCAACAAGAATCCATACACCTAGGTTTCGGGTTTTTTGACAGAAAAAGGACTGACAGAATTCGGCCTGTATCAGGCAGAGGACTAGACGCAGACTGCCAGTTACTTACTAACTAGTGTTCACTCAAAGTATCTAATATAGTCCTACAGGAGATCAGTCGTGAGCCCAAGTAGATGATTGGTAGCGTCAGTCATGTGGGTTCAAATCTCAAGGTGGGCTTGAGTTTTTATCAAAGGATACCAGCCAAAACATCATGTTCAGTAGCTACTGCACATCCATGATCATTTAAGGAATTGTGCGGGGTTCTTAGGAAAGTATATGTTCACTCAGTCAGCGGGTCATGGGATATTAAATCACGATTCCGTGAATGATTATCAACCTGTCATCCTGGTCGTCATAAAGTTATGGATAAGAACTACTGAAGGATTTGAAAGACAAAGAATGAAGTGATTATCTCACGTCATTTCATTTTTTTCATGCTTCTGCAAGTGACGCCAATCCATGAAGAAGTTTTGCCTTGAAATTATCCATGCCACTAGGTACCTGACATTTACACCTGAATTTATTCATTTTTTTAAAAATTTCTATGCGTCGGTGGCACAGTGGTTAGGACCCTCGCGACCATGCAAATGGTCCGGGGTTCGATCCCCTGCCGACGCACACCTGATATCTATAGTCGGCCGGCAAAATTTGGGCTACCGATATTACATGCGAAAAATTCCATACCTGTACCAAAAAATACGGTGTGAGTCAACAAGCTGTTATAAAAAAAGCATTCTTTGAAAAATCTGTCCGTGTTCCACAGACTTCTTTCCCCTGAGAGAGAGAGAGAGATGGAGAATAATTTTACATGAAAACATTGAAAAAAAAGAAGGAGAAATAAAAAAACAGTGCGAAATTGATTGATAAATGAAATAAATATTATACCGTCAAATTAATCATCCATACTCGGTGCCATTGTCTTGTTTTCAGTTCAGAAAAAAATTTTTTACACAATTCAGAGACACAAGGATGAATAAAAAATGTGTATTTATTTTAAATTTTGTTTGTTTTTTTAATTCAATTTTGATTCCTCCTTTTGATTGATTCAACCGAACTGTTCGGCTTCAGCTGACATGTCGGCACCGAGTACAACCACTTCAACGATGTCTAAGGATCGGCTGAAGTAATCTGGTGAATGGTAACCAATACTCACTGAGGAATGCAAGTGCATTCAGCTGACTAGTCCCAAATAGGGTGGAAAGCACATCCTGGATCCCTCTGCCAGTTGCTTCCAGCTGGCTCCTTCTTCTGTACCACGAAATTGGATTGGTATTAAACAGAAATTAGAAAATTGAAGTTCTAAAAGACAATGAGCCAGTGAGAGATAAAAAGACGCATCTATTTGTTTCCCTTCAATAAACGACCTTGCACTTATGACCTACAATAAATAACCTGACACCGAACTTCACTCATAACCTTTGAATTCAGTTCCCAGTATATGATTGGGAGTAGACCACAAATTTTTTAAAATAATTTTCTTGAAAACCAGGGAGTACTGGAGAGCTGTTTCATCAGCCTAGTTTGGGAATCATCAAGTACGCACACACTGCCAGGGTTCGAACCCAGGACCTTCCGGTTACAAGGAAAGCTAACTCGTATACCATTCAACCACCACTGGATTCGATTAAATGGCCAACCAGCCCACGAATTTTTACTTCTACCAATTCGTGATGAGTTTAGTGTGACCCCAACCATTGTCGTTGGAGAGACATCCATCCTCACACTTGACTTGACTGGATGGACCTCACCGGTCATGATTTCTCACTAGAACTGCAGGAAATCCCATCCTGTAGCAAGTCACATGCGACTATTTTCTACAGTTTGGTTTGTAAGGGTTAGTTTTGTTTTTACGAGTGATCACAAACCAAACTATAGAAAATTAATCTGATGCTCGCTAGTGACTGACTTGCTACAGGACGGAGTTTCCTGGAGTTCTAGTGAGA